AGTTCTTTAAAATAGCATAGAAAAAAAATTGTGCAAAGCCGTTTTTTTTGCTAAGAATCCACTTTTTTCTATTGACTTTCTTTTACGGCCAAGAAACCCCACACCCGTCTTTGCGCACCAACAATCGCATTGTGTCCGGTGCTCGATCACAAGCAAATAGCTCTCAAGCTTGTCCCTGATATTTGGCTTCAATCCGGCGTCGCATTGGAACAGCTTCGTGCCTAGGGGAAGAACTCGTCATGCGCTATTTCCGTTGAATGCTCAGCGCTGCTAGACATTTAAGCTAATTTCTAGGAAAAGAATGACAAACTTTGGAGGAAGTCTGATCAATGTCTTATTTGTTCAACGTTAATGGAAGGTTAGGGTATAAGACGGCGTGTAAAGTCAAAAGTTTAAGCGACAATACTGTAGCCTAAAACTCCTTGTAACAAAGGCAGCAATAGCAGTGAGAATACTGTAAACACTCGGTGCGATGACCATAACCATTTGAACTTCCTGATTACTCCGAAAGATGTGGAACTGCCTTATTCAATGCTGTACAACTCCTTGCATTGTAGTGTGCATGTTCCAGGTTATTTAAGGTAGAGTAAGGATTCAGTCCTATCATTGTCTATTACCGCAATCTCGTAATTAGTTAGTTGCAAATTGGACTTCGGATCGTGACCGCTTTTTTGCCGTCAAAAGTGAATATGTTGCGAAAATAAATATTTGCCGAGTGGTAAGAGAAAGTGAGGGACCCTCGTTTTGTAGGTTTTCTTTGCCGCATATCTGACATACAGGCTTTCTGGTATTGTGAAGCAACTTAGTTGGAATATAGGGCAGTTTTATCAGCCACAATCGCAACAGAGTGCCAAGATAACTCTGTTACGACTTGGGCAGCCTTCAAATATGTTTTGAACAGAAAGCTGCGACCAAGAAATATCCGGCAAAATACTGAGTCAGGCGGCGGAAATCATTAGTTGCAACCGTTAAGCGTGTGTGTTTTTCCATTGATTACCACAACATAGAGTTAATTTTGGCTTTGAGGAGAAGATAGAGGTTGAATGTACAACTAAGGAAAAAGATCTTATTATCTCAAATATATTTAATCTAAAGAATGCTGCAATTTCCTCTAAAATAACGTATTTCACAAGCGAGCAGTGAGGGTCACTTCCCACCAAAGATTTTAAGTCAACTATCAAAGAGCAAATGACTGAGCTACGTGCGGGGGAGTAGTTAACCGAAGCTCAATAAATGCTTTCCACATGACTGATGATTTAGGAAATGCTGGAAAATTTCTTACTAGTAAATTCAGCGACTTTTTAGGAGCTTTCTAGATTAAGTATAACTGTTCCTGAACCATATGAACACATTCAAAAGCCGTTTGTAATTGCATCATGTTTCAGGTATTCCTGCTTCAGAGATCAATTCCAAGGCTGGTTCGTGTCCACGACCGTTAGGTATTTCCGTCCTTCAGGTGAGGACATATTGGTATATTGCAGTTTTACGACTATAAACCTGTTTATCTTGAAGTGTTTTTTCGCACAATAGTCAACTGAACCATTGTAGGACGCCAACATAGGCTGTTGGATGGACAGCAACTGTCCTGGAATACAGAAATGTTGCGTAGAGCCAAATCCAGTAACTAACTCGGCTACAAGAATTTGCCGCGATCCTGTTGGGATTCGAAGTGAGCGCTTCTATATACATGAAGGGCAGATTTACAAAATAAATTAAGTTTCGTATACTAAGCTTTCTTTAGTGCTGCTATATCTTTTACTCCATGTTTAGTTTGTTTCCACTAACATTTTTTAAAAATGGAAGTTTGCGCAAGCTTTACCTAAGTTTTATGCATATTCCTAAGTTTTGCTCAGACTGCTGGCTACAACCGTCTCTTCACTCCTTTCCTCTTACAGATTCGCACAACTTTGTTCAAATATTATCCTATTTTGAATAAGCACATTATTCCAGGTCAAGGTCGTACATAGTTGATTTAACCAAAAAGCATCTCTTTTGAAAAATCAATATATCATGTATTGCAGTAATTACCTCCTTTGTTATGATAGCACCGTCTATAGGCACATCGTTATGTTCGCTACCATTAATGGTTGGCTCAT